CTAATTATACCGGGCGGAGCCGGGTATGCCAGCTAGTATGACAATAAAGTTATGATTTATATCATCGTGCCGTTTATTCCGTTCCTTGAACTCAGACAGCTCTTTCTCTTATTGAACTGATGTTCTTGTAGCATGAGAAATTCAATATGAACAAACAACATCATGCAATGCACGATAGGAGCATGAAATCAACAAGCAATAAATACTATAAATATATACTTGTTATGAGTGACCACACGTTACCCTTAATGTAATAAATACAAGATAGCCAAAGTAATTGGTATTAATGTACTGGATAACGAGGACCCGGAAGTTTTTGGTGAAGTCGTTGTGCCCATGGTTGTCGTAGTTGGTTCGGGCTCTGGATGGATGGTTGTCTCAGACGAAAACAATCCAATCACCAATCCTCCCTGAAAGATGCTGCCTAAGCCACAGATAGTTGTGATTTGATGTTATAGGTTCAGTGTGCTTGACAATGTCAAGAGATAGGAGCTAAAGTTTGTTTGGAAGATTGTGAAGAATTATCGTGAGAAAAATCTCCAAATTGCTTCTACAGTACCACCTTTTACATGATTCTATTAGCTTCAAAGTTCTCTCGTTTGTCCTGATGCGATGAACGAAAATTATTGACTTATTGTTAGTAAAGATTTAGATGCAAAGATGTTTTTACTTAGCTGGCGCAACCAACAATTTCAAGAAATTCTTGAAAGACAACATCGGAAGTTTTGTATGCAGTCATTTCAAGGCATTTCCAACGTTGTTGTAGAAGCTACCTGTCCGTCTCCGAATCCGCTGTCAGCCGGATTGCCGGGAACGCAGTTTACTGTCGATCCGAGTTCCAGAGTGTATAGCCCATCATTACAAACGCAAATTGTTCCGTTGCAATGAGAATCCAACAGACATTCTTGTCCATTCGCACAAAGACCTCCTTGAAAAGTTTGGTATATCAGCAAGTGTTAGTGTATCTTTACTGTCTTACCTGGGAAAGCAACTCGGTCTTCGCTAAGTATACCACTACCACCATCCATTCCACTTCTCGGTTTAGGAATTTCTTCTCTGAATATACGTCATATGGTTTGTTGAGGGTGAATTTCGTACACCTACGCGGTAAAGAGAGCTCCATCGCCGTCCCAACCGAGGAAGGTCTGGTCTACCTCGTTAGTGTTTCTCAACCAGTTTGCAAGCGGTTCGAAATACTCAAGCAAAGGCTTCGCGTCTAGCTCGGCTAAAAGGACCTTTGGAGGATTTATGAGGTCTCGCTATTGCCGATGGGTGCACTAAACGCACCTTTACCAGTGATGAGTTCCAAAGCCTTGAGCCATGTGACAGATGATCCCATGGTCATTGCTGCACGAAGCTTCTCTGTGGTGTCTTCTGATAATATGCATCCCTCGCTCTGAGAATGGCTACTCGTATATGCATATTCGCAGTGTCATTTTTACATGAATTCAATAAATCGACAGAAATTATAAAAAGCAGATCGAAAGAGTTTGAAATCAGCCAGTCGTTTACGTCTAATATCGTTCTTTTAATTTCGTTTGAAACATCTAGCAGTATGTGAGAGATGTTGAATTGTAAAGGCGAGCGCAAAAAGCAGAAAAGTTTTATAAGTTTTTCGAAATTTGTAGAAGGCTCAGATTCAAGCAGCATTTGATAATTTTGGAAAAGACCAGCTGGCAAGCAAGAAATAGACTTAGGCGTTGAAAATTTTTAGAGATTTTTTGGTCTGCTTCAGAATTTTGCTACAAAGGTCTTCGAAGATCTCACTATCAATTTTGCCGTAATAGAAAACATATTTTGCCGTGCCGAAAACATAAACGTAGAAAAAAGCTTCTAAATTTAGAAACCCAAGGTTATGTTTGCTGTTGAGCTGTACTAGTTCAAAATATTCGTGTTTCGGTCAAGAAAAATCAGGTTATTGGAGGTGGTGCTGTAGTTAATAAGCAATAGTTTCTGTAACGAACGAACGCTTGTAAAGAAATTGCGGGAAGCTGATATGCTGTATCATAATGGGCTAGATACAGAAAAAAGTTTACTATACTTGCCTTTATGGCAAATCACGGCAACTTGTTCTTTTCGGAAGCTCGCTAAAAATGAGAAATCTTCCGAAAGTTTCCGTTAACAAAAGTATCTTCGTGCTATTCCAAGAAATTCAGAGACCGTGATAATGTTCTACATGAACTATGAAAAGTGCAATATGGCGTTTCTTCCCCACAGATACAAGGCTACAAACTTTGTGATCAAACAGCTTGGTGATGTCTTTCTTAGGAGATTTGAAAATTACAATCATCGACCATCGTGTAGGATATTCATGTCTAAGTCAGTGGCAAAGTACGTCTCAGTTTTGAGCTTCTATTTCCCAGCGCTTTTTTGCAAATTTCATTAATGTCAGAACCTTCTGGGACCCAACTGCAAAAATTCCCGCGTTAACCCTCGAATTGTCTAAAAATGAAAATTCAAGGGAGTGCGCGAACCTACCAGCGCGGTTTCAGCAGGGCACATTGCCTTCAGAATCTGGAATTGAGCAACATAGCTTACGAGTCCTCTTGTGGCAGGAGAATGGACCTAAAATTGGGAATTGTAAGACTAAGTAGCCACGTTTTTTGTCTAGCTAACCTGATAGATGGCACTATGCATGAGAGCATCGAGATTTGACGAATTGTAAGGCTGAGGAGCTCGTAGGCCTTCATACTTGGTTCTGCAAACGTTAGCAATTGAGATCCCCAACAAAATCACGATAATAATGATATTGTAGAATCAGTGCAGACCTCAGTTCCCACCATCTGTCATTCAGCTTTCCTGGTGAGATAGTTGATTCGAATTGTTCGTACCTCCATTTGTCAGCGACGATATCAAAGGGTATTTTTGCAAAATTTTCCAGTGCTTCCCTGTACGTTTTGAGATGCGACGATGGCA